TTTAATGTAATACGCCTGGTGTTGTTTAGTATTGTGTAGTCAATGTTTTAAAGTAAACTGCATTATTGGTTTTGCTGGGAAGAAGACCGCACCGGGTGTAGCCTGTGCTAGCTCGGCAAAGGCTCTAATTGGATCGCAGCGCAAAGGGAGAAGACGAACGAATCCAGGGCCCCCCATTTAGTGTTAAAACAGTGTTCGACCCCATATAGGGCCGAAGGGGGCGCTACACATGTTAAGGACACAACTGGAGCTGAACTGAACCCAGACATTATAAACTTTGGCTGGTATGTCAACAATATAAGAGGCAGGGCTACAATGGCTGTGCTGCTCTGTCAGCCATTTACAGAGGTGTGCAAGCTGTCAAACAGGAGGACAATGAGAAGGCCTGTTTAGTGCTGTGCTTTGCCCAGAGACTGACCCTTGTTGTTGTGAAATGTGCTTCAGCTTCATGTAATTCCTTTGGTGTTTCTACCTTCATGAGAGGCTCTGTGAAGCTACATGACCTTTTTGTTGAGGTTTAACAAGTAGTGAGAGTTTGTAAGGGACAGGGAAATACAAAACTCTGCATGTTCTTAGTGTGACAAGATGGTCTTTCAGGATTGACAATTGTAATGTTTTGTGTCCTTCCCCAGCCAACACATCCATGTGGGGCCCGCATGGGATGCACTTGGGCTGACATGGGAAACCCAAGTGGGGCCCAGTCAATTTTGTCCGCAGTTTCCTTGGTGGCACCACATGGGTATTTACTTTACCGAGCAGTTGAAAAGCTGTACCTAATAAAGTGGCCAGTGAGTGTATGTTGCATATGAAGCTGCACCCCCACAAAAAACCTAAGGTGCATGACACCCCTACATGAAGGGAACCAGTGCAAACATGGAGAGAACATGCAAACATCACACATGTGAACTTATAAACAGACTTACTTATGGATGAAACCACAATTACCACAACTGCAGCTCCTGTCATTCCTGCTACACAATCAAGTATTTTCTCTTTTTTTTCACTCTCTTCAGAATATTTTATTAAAACCATAATAGTGACGACTGAAAGGAAAAGAGAATAAAGTTAGGAAGCATAAAATTCATGTTAGACAGAGAATATCAAACAAATGGTCCACTGTCCTGTATTTATGACCCTTCTTTGCACAACCCTGTCAGGTAGGCTTTCTGGGTTAAATTCCCATTTACATCACACATCCTGGGCAGGATCACAGGTGGGCTGGAGACCATCCCAAGCAGCACAGGGCACTAGGCAGAGGTACATCTTGGATGGGAGGCCATATACACACAGTCACATGCTACAGGAAATTTATAGAGACCAATTAACCTGAAAGTGAGAGTTTGGACTGCTGGAGGACACTGGAGTAGCTGGTGGAAACTCACATCACAAGGGGAGCACATACAGACTGCACACAGACACAGAGGAGAGGGACTCAAACCTACACGACATGAGGAGCATATGAAGACTGTACAGAGATACGGGGGGGAGAGAGGACTCAAACCAGCAGCCTGGAGGTGTCAGGTAGCAGAGTGAAAAAACACACAAATAATACGAATTTAAATCATGTGAATCACACATGTTCTGTGTTTAAATACAAAGTGAAAATCTTGGTGCATAATTCTAGTCCATTATTTCTGAAATCTATTTATGAACATACTTCGGAAGAAGACAAAAAAGATGAACATGAATATGATTCCACCAAAAATGACTTCAAATGTTGCTTTCTCAGCTGGAGTTGGAGAATATTTTGCTGAAAACTCAATGAAAGAACCTGAAATGAGGTAACAATAGTCAGTCAACACGCAATTAATGACAGACACAGGGAAAAAATGCATTCATTGGTTCAGATTAATAAGGGTCATGAACAGTGTTTGGGTCAGTGAGGGTGTCTGGCTGGGAGACATTATTCTGCCTAAATCATGCTTCCAAACAGCTATAAAGCCAAACTGCCCCCAGCCTAAACAAAGACAGTTTACTCCCTTAATCTATCAGCCTCCCTCTACACTAAAAAAAGAATATGTTGAATTTACTTAATTCAAAAGTGGAAGTGGTTGCACACAGATGTTTTGCTTTGGCAACAACTTGAACAACTGAGTTAAATTAACACAAGTTATTCATATTCAATAAACCTGTGTATTTTTGGTTGATACAGTGTGACTGAAACATTTTTTGTTAAAGTTTTTTGTTGATTTAACATTGTATAAATGTTGTTTACATTTATAACAGCAGTTTTTCAATGTTTTCCAACTTACGTGAACACAGTTCTTTGGGCACAAAGAGCTAAACTGACGTAAAACTTGCATAAAAAGAGAAAAGGCTATGTTTGTCAGAGTCTTTCTCATGATGGTGGGTAAATCTGAGATGGCTCTTCTGATCCTCATGACTTGTGCGCATATTAAAATGGGGCAGATATGTGGAGGTGGAGACTCATTGACTTGCCCTACGGTGTAAATTGAAAATAAATCAACTGTTGTCTGGAACTGAAACCATTGGCTGCCAGGAAAATGGGAGCGTTGTTTTGCTGCTCTAAAATGTAATGATGGGAAAGAAAAATTCCATCCAATATTCAATTATACTGTTTAGTTGTATACTATTCACCTGCTGTAAAAACTGGTATTTTTGTTTGAAAGGAGTTTTGAAAGAATTTTGTTTATAGGCCAACTGTTATGCACTTTTTAAAATGTGCTAGCTATTGCTCAGTGGAATTTTGACAACTTGTTAAATCAACATAGTTATGAACATTTCTTGTCATATCTATTCTAAATATGCATTTAGTGCATGTTTCATTTAGAGAAATGGACAAAGAAGTCATTTATATGGCTGTACATAATAAAATCTGAAAACAAAAGATTGTATACATTTTTTAGTAAATGCATTTCATTGGTATTTTAAATATATTTAA